TAACATGTCTAGATCATTTTCGTTCAAAGTCTATCATCAACAAATACATGCAACTAGCCGAGTAATTGCTGAGAATATGACCAATTATAGAAACGTGAGTTAACTTTACTGACAAAATACATCTAAATAGATTTATTCGATTTTATGCAGATTTATTGGGCCGGAGATGTATGCATTGGTACACCCCCACAATGTTTCAAAATGCTTTTTGATACAGGCAGTTCAGATTTCTGGGTACCATCTTCAAATTGTAACATAGGAAGCTGTGCTAGTATGTCATTTTCTGTTATATTCATATGAAAACTTAAATATCTTGCTCTTCTCTGTGAAATAGAATTCGTTGGTAAATTTGATGCATCGAAATCATCGACCTTCAGACGTCTTCCAAATCGCAACATGTTTTCGATACGGTACGCAGATGGAACAAGCGTATCAGGTTTCTGGGGTGTGGATAGTGTTTCCGTACGTGAGAATATTCTTTTTTGTGCTTCTTTCAAATCTTTCTAGTGAAACTATATAAATTCTTTATGCAAATGGAAGTTTCTCTTACGCTCATTGTTGTTATTCAAACTTTTGTTTGTCTGAATAGATAAATGGTCTCATTATTGAACGTCAACAGTTTGCTCAGATCACTTTTTCACAAATTTCGAACAATTTTACATCCGATGGCATCTGCGGTAAGTATTGAATCTTTTCTATTCAAATGTGAAATCATTTAGAAAATATTGCCTCATTAGGTCTCGGATTTTATTCGTTATCTAATGGACATATGACGCCAATTGTTTTCAATCTTTGGCATCAAAGACTTATCGATCAACCCATCGTTTCATTTTGGCTTGATCCGTATGACTTATCATTTTCTGATCACAATTGTAAAAAAAAAGACTTAATTTAGAAATCCGGAACACGCAAGAGGCGGAGAGATTTACTTCGGTGGCGTTGACTCTCAATTCTTTGAAGGTGAAATGATTTATGCTAATGTAACTCAACAGAAACAACAATCATGGCAAATTCAATTGGATGGGTAAGCAAGTAATTACCAAGTTCATGTATATTTTGAAAAATTCTGTATCCTTCTGTCTAGTATTAAGGCAGGTACATTGAATTTATGTAATGGTGGCTGTACAGCAGTTATCGACTCTGGCACAACATATATTATTGGACCATCTTCAGATGTTAATCGTTTTCTACGGTCGATTTCTCATTATAATTCAACGGTAACTATCACTATAATAATAAATTGAACGATCACAATGAATATTTATCTATATTGTAGGATGGTTCTGTCCATTGTTCATATCGATCATCTATGCCTGATCTCATTTTTATTATTGGGGGTAAACCATTGGCATTGACTGCTGCTCAATACATTTATTCTCGTATTGACGCATCAAAGAATAATAGTATCTTCTGTTATTCTGGTATTATACCTGACTATGGAGATATCTGGAATAGTGATCCCCGATGGATTGTGGGCGATATATTTATGACTCATTACTATACGACTTTTGATTTTAGCAAAAGACGCATTGGATTTGCTAAGTCAGTCACTGTTCTTAAGTAGCTGATGGATAGGCAATTGTGGTCGTCGTTTACACTCAGCAATATCCATAAGATAAAAAAGAATCTGTCGGAAAATCTAGAAAATTAATAACGCCTATCTATACAAACATACTCACAAAACTATCCAAAGATAATCGCCCCCTCCTCGTTACTATCTTTTCTTTCTTGACAGCTGAAAGTAACACGATGACTTTTGTTAGATTTAATACCATTAACTAATTTTATTTCTTTCTTGTTCATGTTGTAACTTCTTTATTTTCTGTTTTTATATAAATGCATATGTTTCCGGCATTTCAACATGTGTAATAACTAACAAAGTTAAATACAATCAGTTTCCATGGTTGACAATGCTGGTAAATATATTAATTGACAGAGATATATAAGAGAATTTGAATCATATCAACAAAATGAGCGAATCTATTGGGTCAGTTAATATTTTTAACACTTGATTTATCAGATTCTTTTGATGATCTTATTTATTTTTGTCTCGATCGATAGATCTCATTCTTTCAAGTTTAGTTTTTCTTTAAGTATCTGCAATGTTTTCAATCATATTGTTACTAGAATTTCAATTGTATATGTCCATCTATTTCAAATAATCTTAGTGACTTTTTTTTTACTGGTTCTACTTGTCATATATTTTTCCTAACTTTATTCATTACTATTGCTAACAATGTTTGATTTCTACATAATTTTATTGTATTTTTATTCATTGTGTATTATCATATGTTTTGTTTGAACTGATGGATAAATCTAAGGTCCTTAGCAGAGCTGCCACCTCTTCTGCTTTTAGCAGAAAAATTCTGCTTTTTGAAAATTTTTCTGTCTTTTTTCTGTGGTTTCTGCTTTTTGAGAATTTTTCTGCTTTTTTGGATACTGCGAAATTTATATTTTTAAAATATTTTTCATCTCACAGATCATTTTTTTACGATTATAAAAAAATCCTTATCAATAGTTACTAACCCATGTCCTCAAAATCGTCTGACTTTTGATGATTCTCCGCCATTTAAAAAAAACGCCAATTAATCGCCAGCATTTGGTGATTATATTGTCGAAGTTTAGGATAAATGGCGATTTTTCGGTGAAAATTAGCAAAAATCGGCAGTTTTTTACAATTTACCGTGATATAATCTCCCAATTAATCGGGCTAGCATATCGCAATATAATCGGCGATTTTGATTTGGCTGTTGACACAAATAGTCTATATATGGTCGACCTATTCCATCAAAGTCATATGGGTTTTTCATTTTCTGTGTTTTTGTTGTAAGAATTCAAGAAAAATCGCCAATTTTTACGATTTATCGCGATATAATCTCTTGATTAATCGCTAATATAACGCGATAAAATCATCGATTTTGTGACGATTTCGATGACATGGGAATGTTTTTGTTCTATTATAATTCTTTCAATGTTACAAAAATGATCTTTATTTTTGTTAGTTCCGAGTAGTTATGGATGTTTATATATTCTTTCACTTAATCACCAAATTTTAGGAAGCTGGTATGCTTTCATATTCTCTACTTTGTAGCAACCCTTATGTGGAATCAGCATTCTGAAAATTGAAACTTTTTTTAAATGATAAAAGGAACTGTATAGGAACAGAACTAATATCAGCTTTATTAGCAATACTTTTAAATTCATTCTTATCATGTATTGAAACACATAAATATTGATTAGGTAATCAAGATTTATTAAAATCTATTAAATATGATGAAAAATATACGTTCAAAAGAAACTTTGTTGCATAATCCTATTTATTTGTTAATTAATTGTTTTTCTTGATTCTGACCAATAATGAACAACATTTGATGTGAAAGCACTTAATTAGTATACTGGGACAAAGTTTCAAAACAGCTTTATATCACAGAAAATGCTTTCTGTCTTTTTATTCTGCTTTTTTATGATAAAATTTCTGTCATTTTCTGCTTTTTATAAATGATTTTCTGCTTTTTGGACTTCAAAAGGTGGCAGCACTGGTCCTTAGTCCTAATATTGTTGGTTTGTAAACGATTAACAAGTTATATGCAGGAGTATAAGTTCTTTTCTTTTCAAGATCTTTAAAAGTATGGGTGCGGGTATGGATGTGTATATTTTTCCAACAGTCATACACCCACACACACACCATATTTTGTAAATAAGATAATCTTCTATGATCTTCAAATTTTGTTTTCATTCTACAATAACTTTTACAATTAAATATATTTTTATGATAAATCTTCTCTTTAATCATTCCAAACGAAATATTATATTACTCTTTCGTACTCTTAATTGAAAGTTTCTTCGATTTGAAAGATGTCTTCTTCTTCTACTATTATTACAATATAATGAATACGAAATTAAACAAAAGAAAAATATATTTAGTTAAAGTATTATTCTAATTTGATATTACTATATTCAAAAATAGAAATTTTAATCATATAAAAATAAAATATGTTCTCTGAAGAAGAGTACACTTTAAAAAGAAAATTGTTTTATCATATAAAGAGAGTTTAATTTATCTTAAATAATTTCAAGTATATTTTCTAAAACAATTAGTAGCAAAGATCTTCTTCACCTCTGTATATGTATAAGCGATTTGCAATTACATTATACTCTTTCAATTTGAGACGTTTACTCGCAACAATGATAGCTATCGTTGATCAATTTGATTAATTCCATTTTTTGTTTTAACTACGACAGAAATAATCGAGTTTCTATTATACGTAATTCTCAAGCTATGGTTGCTAGAACAGTCCAAATACTAGTTTCTCGTGCAACTTATGAATTAAAAACTTTTTTTCTAGAACTTACATATATTTTTCAAAGATGATGTTAGTTTCACGTTTTTATTTTCTTCATATAATATTTCAAAATTCTTTACTTTATTGTAACATCGATTACATCCAATGGAAATGTTTGCTTTTGTCGATCTCTATTTTTTTTTTACCTCATTCCATTTCAAATTAGAAATCGAAATATTCAGTCCATACTAATATTACTTTTCGATTAGTTGAAGAGATAGAGCACTTATATTTGTGAATGAGTCTCTCTCTTACAAAAAACGGTATAATTAATTTTCGTAACTAATAAAAATTGAATACAAAACAAGAATTGATGTATAATATGAATTTTGATACATAACACTTTTTTGTATAATATCTTGATTCTCAATTGATCTTCTTATTCTTGATGATTAGTAAAAAAAAACTAATGAAGATATTTTAGAAATATTGTCATGACAACATTTATTCATACATGACAATTTATTTATGTACTATGAATAACTATAATAGAACAATAATACGAAAACAAAAAACACAACAGAAATATCTCAATCATGTAGAAAAAGATACAAATGAAAAATTAAAAACAAAAAAAAAATGAGATAACTATTCATCATTCAAGTGTTTATAGTGTTGTTAGAGTTCATTTGAAAATTTGATCATCAATATCATTTTCTATGAATAATAATCTTCATCATCAGATAAATTGTATAAATGTTTCATTTTTGATGATAATCTCATATTAGCAATACGTTTAGATGGTCTTTCATTAAGTTCTTCGTCATTTGATGAAGTCATTTTCATTTTGTATACATTTGTCTAAATGAACAAAAACCAAAAGTTTTCATCTCAAAGCTTTGAGAACAATCCTCAAAAAAAAATCTTCTATTCTCTTTTTTAATGTAATTAAAATATAATAATAGCAACGACTTACTTCAGTTGAAGATACATGTTTTTTTCTTTTGTATTTTTTTAATGATGATTCAAATTCTTTGAGTAAATCTGGACAATGTAAATTGTCCTTGTCTTCCCACTAAACGGAAAAAAAAAGACAACATTTAATATTTTTCTCATCGTACTCAAATAAAAGACTTTTTAATCATATAGATTTATTTACAAATGAAAATTCAATAAAACAAAATTTAGATAAAATTGTATTTTTTTTTCAAAATTTAAAATCTACTTTTAATTCAAAGGAAAAAAAAACTTACAGTATTTTGATCATGATCAAAACCTTTCCATTTTAGTAAATATTCAATACAACCATTTCTAATTCTTTGATCAAGAATTTTTTCTACTACAAACATTTGTTTCCAAAGATTTACTTCAGTATTTGAATTAGCTAATCGTTTTTGAAACATATATTTATATTTTTTACTTATATCAAAACCAATAAAAGATCGTTTAAGATTAGCTGCAGCTATAAGTGTTGTACCAGAACCAGCAAATGGATCTAATACAAGATCACCTAAAAATAGTTTAATATGAATTGAAAACAATAAAATTAATAAGACTATGTATTCATTAATCCTTTCATAACGATAGGACCCATTATATTTTAACCGAAAACTTAATAGAAAAACACTTTCTTTTCTTTACACATGAGATTACAGATAATGAGCCAAATCTGATGTTTCTCGTTAAAACAATTAAGACAAAAAAATTTGTCACAATCAGAACAGAAAATTTTTATTTTCTTTGTTGCCACATAACTCACTTCTCTTGAGTTCGATATGATAAAAGACCTACTATACGATCAACAGAAAGAAAAACAAATAACTGTACATACTGAAAATATCAATGAGCGCATTTATCGAGCGTGAACACGCATGAATAAAGAAAAAAAGCAAATGATTTTTAATAGTTCAATTTTGCTCAGTTTTTTTTTTCTTTTTAGTATGATTATTCATTTCTATATTTACCTTGATCAGTTGTAGCTAAAATACAAATTTCAGATAATAATTGTGGAAATGGAGCTGGATGTAAATTTTTTCTATCAGGTGATATTCTCCATATTGAACTTTTAAAACATTCTGGTAATTTATTACGATAAAATTTTGGTGATGATGATGATGATGAATAATCAATTGAAGATTTAGTTAACCAAAAAATTTTTTCAAGATTTGGACGAAAATATTTAGAATTTTGATTAACTGTAGAACCACGATCCCAAATAATTGTTTGATATAATTTTAAATTACTTCGAAGAATAAAATTTTCAGGTGGATAATCACGTTTACAATAACGACGATCTTTATGATTATAAAAAAGTGAACCATTTGGTGTTAATATACGATTTATTTCATTTAAAAGATTACATTGCCATTGTTGATATTCATCTTCATTCATATTATCATCATATGTATCATATATAATTTGTCCATTATATTGACGACCTTCACGAAGACCAAGTTTATTATATGGTGGTGAAGTAACAATACATTGTATAGAATTATTCGGTAACATTTGTAAACCTTTTAAACAATCGATAATCATATATTTATTAGTCATTGACTAAAAATGATAGAAAAATATGATTTAAATTAAATTAGAACTTTTTTTTGTTTTATAATTTTTAAAATAATACATATATTACACGAGAGAATTACATTTTAGTCTTTTTTTTTTAAATAATCTCATATTTCGAAATGACAAAAAAAAATTGATTGTCATCGTAATCTTTACAGAAGATCCGGACACTTGCTCACTATAGGACCCTATGTAACTGTTATAGTGAGCAAGTGTCCTAAACTCCTTTACAGATAAAATTTAAATAATCATTTGAGAATGTCGAAATCAGTTTATTACTTTAAGTTTTTTCGTTTTATCATTTGATTTCAATGATTGTTGATGATTAATTGATGTATGAGTTGTTTTTGATACATTTGTTGTTGATGAAATCTAATGAAAAATTAATATAAATAAAAAATATTACTCAAGAATTAAAGTCATTTTGTTGACTTTTTATTTTCATAAGAAGAAATCTAAAAGATTTATTATACATATTTAAATTCTTTCTTTCCAGATGAAATATTTTTCGTTATGGGAATGATTTCAACTTAGCGTGAAACAGACGTATGGAAAAAACAAACGGTGAAATTTGATGTTTGACATCTGCATTTCTCTTTCTCATATCTATTCTTGTGCATTTCTTTTCTTTCACCGTAATTGGAATAATCGCATCTAAACAATGTCATTGTTTATATATTGATTGTATATATGTGACTTATTTTTTTTGAACTCAATCATCAATGTCTTTCCGATCAATTAAATATCTATTGATTTAAACCAGCTTTTGTTTTTTTTCATAGACTAATTAAATTTACAGAAAATGATTTTCTTTTAGGATAAAATTGTTTTGTTTTTTTCTGATAAAAAAATGTCAATAGAGATATATTGAATTTAATCGACAAACCTCATTTTTAATTAAAATTCGAAATGTATATTGACATTGATTATTTATTATTGGTTCTTGTTTAATATTATCATCTGATGTTAAATCGATGAATTCAATATTTTTGTTTGATGTTGTTGAATGTTGCATTAATGTAATTTATTTTTATTTGACTAGATATGAAATTTGATATTGATCAAAAAATTTATACACTTTATATTTTATTAAAAATTGACTTACTTGAAATAAGTTAAAAGATCACCTTTGACAAAATTGATTTTGATTATAAATTTAACTTGTGAAGCTTAAACACAACTGAAAATGAAGTATATAATTGATATACAAGACGATTATTCTATGAGAGAATAGATAAGAAAAAGAAGAGAAAGAATATATCACGTATACGAACTGATATATAAGATATGTACTAATGTTACTATTAAATAAACTATCATATACATATTTCGTTGATATTGTCAAATGAAATTTTTGATTGAAATTCTTAATTCTTGAAAATTGTATAACAATTGAATTTTTTGTTCTATGTAAAAATTTGAACAGATGATATACATTATTATGATTATTACAAAATTCATAATACGTCTCAATTCATTCTCTTTTTATATATCGTCTTTTCTATAACTTTTTTGATTTTCTTTTTTATTATCACGTGTATGATACATTCTCTATCTGCGCTTCTGTTTCTTGAGAGAAGAATTGAATTTGATTTATAAAAGTTAAAATTAAAAATTTTTTTCAATTGAAAAAAATGTAGATACCAAAGATTAGAACAATAATATGATAGTTACAATCATGATGAAATGTACTATCTATTAAAATGAAGCTTTAATCTATCGTTCACGTTGAATAATACAATAGTCAAAGTCATCGATATGATCAATGAAATATATGTTCTCTGTATCGTTTTTTTTTAACAAGAATAAAGAAAACGATTGTTTATTTATAAATACATATAGATCTCATTTAGTATTGAAAAATCGCATACAATTTATATTTGATGATAAGAATGAAAAACAAAAAACGATTTTTTATTACTTGATTGATTAGATTCTAATAGACTTTCTCTTTTTTTCACATTGCTTTATTGTTTATTTAAGTTGAGTTTCAAATTAGAAGATACTCAAAAAGGAAATATATATCTTCTTTAATAAAAATATTCATTCAACAAGTACGATTTTCACAGAATATAAATCGAATTTATTTACAAATTAATCGTAACATATAACTAAGAATACATACGTAGTAAAATACCACAATATGGAAAAATGTTATTTTATAGTGCCGATATAACGGTGCTATGTGATCATTCTAGAAAAAGCTCAATAATTTGAAAACGTTGAATGAGAAAAAGTATGAACCAAGCAGAGCTTGTTTGATTTTGGATGAGAAAAAAGAAAAGATTGGCAAAAATAGTTGGAACAAGTTGATCTTACTTCATTCAAACTTGTTTGAGAGTGTGGATATGAGGTCTGAAGCATGGGCGACGGAACGATTTTAACTTAGGGGGGAGACTCAAAATTTTTTCCTAGGCAATGATGAGAAATGGAACAAAAAAGGAACTATTTTCTACTTTTTATAATGTTCACTATATTTTAAACGCATTTTTGGATTTACTCATGTCAAAATTTGAACCATAGTGAAAAATTTTACGGCAACGTTAACTTTTCTATTGGATAATTAGCATGTACATAAAAATCTTACACCTAATCTAATGTGAATATAGCAAGGCAGAGCTAAAAGCACTTCTCACGACTGAAAATGATTTCATGCTGTTTCTTTTTTTTTTATGAACCATTGCAGCTATTCTTCTATTCCACATAAACTAATTTTTCTTCATATGAAGGATATCGATATGACTAAAAGTGATCAGCGAATAAAATATGCCAAAAGTCATTGTGACTTATTAAATACATTTCAATGCACTATTATTCAAGCTGAATCTAATATTTTTTATTTGAAATGGGAGCCTAGGAACACTTTGTTCTTAAAGATCAAGTTAATCAACAACGTAGCAAAAGCAGGATTTGTAGCTACAAAAAGAAAAACATTAGGCTTTTTCTATGTCAAAAACGATATAGTGTTACTTTCTATATCTACTAGAATTTTGTTCGTCATTGTGCACTTCAGATCATTTAGATCTTTCAGTATTGCTTGACAGCCATTTTCTGACACATTTTGAAAAGAACCAATAACTGATGCATTTTCCCTCGGTAGGTCGTTCGTGCCTCTTCGAAAACCATTAAGGCCGTGAAAAGTGTGCGCTGGACTATTTAACAACACATGTTATTATTAATATTGGCTTTCTTGGTTCTTTTTCTCGAGAATATCTCAGGATGAGTATTTGTAAAGTCATGAGGATAGATTTGAAGTTCCTAATAACGATTGAAATTCTAATAGATATCGAAAAAACGCTTCATATCGTTTTCCACATAGAGAAAAACCTCATTTTATTCTTTTTTTGTATTCGCAAATTCCATTTTTGCTACATTGTTGTTGAAACGGGTCTTTAATAATATAGACATGTTAGTCTCTTCTTTCAAATAAAATAAGTTTTGTGCTAAGCTTCATTGCTACAGGAGTTACATGTATTTTCAATAGTAACCTTTGGCACATTCTGTATATTCGTTATGTGTTATAAACAGGGAGTTTTAATGCGGTCAGTTAAATTAGTTGATAACATATTCACACTAACTACGTGAATATTAGTAATTATACTCATTTTTTTTTCTTGTTCTTTTAAGAAAGACATGCTTCGACGCTATTTAGTAAAGATTTTGTCTGCCAAAAGATTCATGTTCATCTATTACTTCAAAATTTTTTGTAAAACTGAAACAGAGATAATTGTTTGTGATCCGAAAGTCATCGAGGCACTACAAATATAGTGATACACATGGACTATATAACATTTGACTGGGTGTACCATTCAAAAAACACAAGACAACCTTTGTTCAAAGAGTTCTCGCTAATAAGACGTAAACTTGCGATTATATCTTTAAAATATTTTTTAGTATTTGAGCCTCCCCCAAGCCTCCCCAAGCCTAATGGCTCCGCCGCCCATGCAGTATGTTATGATTAAGTGAATCAATATAAACCTCTATTGAGTCTTATTTATCTTAATAATCAGATAATAAACATACGATTTATTTGCTTGGTTGTTATGTTTTTAATAAGTTCCCTCTTTTTTTTGATAATTAAAAAAAGAGATGAAATACAATACGATAAACACTACATTTATACAGAAAACAAAAGTCGAATAGAATAAAACTACAACGACATATATACCACCGGGATCAGACAACAAATACAATGAGAGAATTTGTATGCTGAGATATAAATATATTTGTATATATGCGTTGGATATATGAACGGAGAAATATGACAAAAACTAACCAAAAAAAAAAAATATATATATATATATATGCATATAGTATATACAAAAACCTAATCTAAGATTCATCAGATGATGATGAAGATGATAAAAGAAGACGTCGTCGTTTTCGTTTAATTGGTTGTTTTTGTTGTTGATTTTGTCGTTTTGTTGATGTTATAAATAATGATCGTCTATTAGAATCAAATTCATATTCATTTGTTGAAGGTGTTACTGGTGGTGTTGGTAATTGAATATCAAGTGAAAATTCATTTCGTTGTAATTGTCGAATTTCATTATTAATTTTTATATGATATAAAAGTACTCGTTGACGTCCAAGATATTTACATGTATAAATTGTACCATCAGTCCATTTTATACGTACAGTTGAACCAATAATTAATTTTGATGGATCAGAATCAAGTATATCTTCAGCAAGCCTTTAACAAAAAAAAAGAACATAAAGAATAAGTTTTATTTTATAAACATTTTCTTTTTTTTTATGTTATTTAATCAAAACAAAAAATTTCGAATACAATGCACTTACAAAAAAAAAATCGAAATGGTTTCTTCGTTCTATTAATGTATGACAGCTATTATATAATCAAAAAAAGACATCAGCTTTAAACACATCATTAATCCTTATATATGTAAATACTAGGAGTCTGCAAACTAGTTCCGTGATGTTTTAGAACTAGACTATATATTTTCATATTTATTATTTTGTTCTGATCAATGATTTACAAATAGACTCATTTTATTTATGCATTGAGATAAAATTATAGATTTATAAAATTACTTTTTTTTTCGATCCTGAACAGGAATCATTTTGGAGATTTCTATTAAAAATAATACTTACTCATTTAAATTTTGCAAGAACTATGAACTCTGAAAGAATTTTCTAAGTCATATGACCAGAACTAAGAAAAATTTTTGAGACAAACAAATAAAGAAAAGATGATCTCGTTGATGTCTAGTAAATATTCTATTTATAGTTGTATGTATTTTAGTTTCAGAATCTTGATATACTTACATATCATGACTATAAGTATCATCACCAAAATCAACTGAATAGTGATAACTTAATTCATTACCAATAATTTGACCAAGTTTTTGTCCTTTTGTATCATTAATTAATACTCGAGTTCCTATAGGTATACGTTTTTTTTCTTCAACTATATTATGATTATTATTATTATCATCATCTCTATTTTCTTCTTGTTGTTTGCCATCTATTAGATTATCACTACTAATTTCTATTATTTTATCATCAATTGTTGATGATCCACTAGTCATTATCGATATCGATGAATTTAATATAGAATTTATTGCATGTAAATGACAACGAGCATGAATAATTAAATGATCTTGATCAATTTGAAATGTACATCCATTGATAAGACCACATGTTATATGAAATGTATTTGTACATTGATTAGAATTACAAGAAGCATAAATATGTGTTGATATACGTCGATAATTTAATGGACAAAATGACCAACAATAATAACATGAATTTATTTGAGATGAAATTTGATAAACTTGATATATTGAACAGATAGCATGAATAAATGATGATGATAAACGAGGATAAAGAAGAAGACCACCACGAAGTAAACAAGCTGAACAACGATCATCAATTGTATTTGAAATCTTCAAAAAAAAAAAAGGAAAATTAAAAGTTTTAATAATAAATAAAATTTTATTTACTTTATTTTTTAAAGTACAACGTTGACATAACCATTGATCATATTCATTATTA